AGCAAAACTATTACAAAATTTTAAAACTTTTTCGAGGAATAAAGGACACCCAGACTGGCTCTGAGGTTGGGACATTGGAGTTCATTAGAGTGAAATTCATTGTAATATTAATTCCATAGAGTTAACTTTATGGTGTGCCTATCACTGGGAAATTTGCAGTTGTCACTAGAGTTCAAGGCCTGCTATTCTTATTGAGAAGTGGCAACATTAAGAGAGTCTGAGCAGCTGAATCTGGGGATAAAATCAAGCTATTTGAGGCCCATTTTGGGCAAGTTCTTTGAAAATACCTACTTTATCAAAAATCTCATAATTGTTAATATCACGACCCTGGTTTTTTCAGAAACCTCTGCATGAAATTTTTAAAGTTTGGCTGGTGTCTCTCAATCGTGCCGAAAAGGGTATGGGAAGAGTCGTGACCAGAAAAAAGTTGTTTCAGTCAAACTTGCCAAGCCCATGTGCCTTATTTGTACTAAATACCCCATAAATTCCATACTTGAGAAGAAACGCCTTCTCAATTCTTTATCTTTAAAATCAACACCAGCCAACCTTAACTCATCAATGAAATTCTGGATCCTTTAGTCATATGTATATTTTTCTATTTCCTACCCCGTAAAGCTCCTGTTAAAATAGTCCAGCAAGAAAATCATATTAGTTTTCTAAATTTGTTGTAATAAATCATCAAAGTCTGGGTGGCTTAATATAACAGAAATTTATTCTCCCACAGTTTTAGGGTTAGAATCTGAAATCAAGGTGCCTGAGATATCACGTTCCCATAGTAAGCTATGGAGGAGACTCCTTTTGAACTTCCGCTTTTGTGGCTCATACTATTCCTTGATTTGTGGCAGCATAACTCTATTCTCCATTTTTTCTATATATGGCCTTTTTTATCTTGTGTGTATCTGTGTCTTCTCCTTTCTATATCTCTTAAGGACACTTGTCATTAGATTTAGTGTCTACTTTAATGCAAGATAAATCCCATTCCAAGAACTTCATTTTAATTATATCTATAAAAACTTTTATTGCAAATAAGGCAAATTTTGAGGTTCTGGGTAGACATATCTTTTGGATGAGTACCATTCAACCCACTACAGTAGTCATTGTAAGTTCTGGCTCTGAGCTTACAATAATTTTACCTGTTGAAGACTAATACATTATTTTACATATCTCAAATATCCTAAAAGAAATTGTATTTTTTACCTTATGTAAGATAATATAGATTAACCACATTCCAACTTTCATTGTTTCTGCTTAGAATTACTTCAATTAAGTTTGGTAACACTTGTTTGGAAAACTTCGATTTTTTAAAAAAATGAGAATGTGTTATTTAAGAAACAAAAGATATTTGATAAAGACCCAAACCTTTAAAAAATATGCACATTCATTAGGAAATAATAAAAAGGACCCTGTCTAAAGGTAGTAAAATTCAAATACTAATCTCATACACAATCTATCTATCATCTATCTATCTATCTATCTATCTATCTATCTATCTATCTATCTATCTAATCTACCTATCTATCAATCATCTATCATTTATTATGCTATCAGCACTTAACAGTTAACTCTGTAAGCCTGCTATCTATATCATACTCTTATGATAAACATTAATATACTCTTCTTATAAACACGTTATCTTCTGATAACTTTCCATAAGCATTCTACATTTATTACACTACCAACACTTCACATCTAACTCTTTTTAACAATATAAACAAACAGAAGGGAACTCCCAGTAAAATAAAACCAGCCACTTCACACAACTGGAGTCATTTCATCTTAACTATAAACCTGAATGGGAAAATGTTTGTTTAATCTGTAATTCTTATGAATTTTGTTCTAACATATGGGAAGCCATTGGATTTGCCAGCCTACACCAAACTCATTTTGAATAGTTCTTGATCCTACCCCACTCTGTCGAAGCCAATAAACTCATCTGAAAAAAAAAACAAAAAACAAAAAATAAATAAATAAAAAATAAACAGAAAAATGGGTAGGAGTTCCTGGATAATTAAGAGTAGTTATCTCTAAAGTTTGGTATATCTCTCTGCCAGTGGGAGTTGGTGGCAACAGGCATTACTGATTAGGACTTAATTAGGATAAAGAACCAGGAAGAATCTAACAAATGACTATTCTGTCTGCATAAAAGAGAAAGTTACATCGAGGATAATAAAGGAGAATTATTTAGGAGAAGAAAAAAAGCAATATTTTGAAAATGATAATGAAAACCAGGGCATTATTTATAGTCCATAAGCCACAGCTAAGATCAATAACACTTGTCAATGACTGAGATAATAGACCATGTGCCCAAAGCCAAATAAAACAAAATAAAAATGAATTTCCTATAAGAAAGATAAATGAAAGAGTTCAGTCTTAAGAGGCTGGCCAACATCTGAGAGATAGTGGTTTGGACATTTAGAGTGTACAGAAATAAAAAAGTGAACTGCTTGCCCAGAGTCACATAGAATTCACCAAAGAGCTGGCACCTGAACCAAAGTCCCCCCAGTTCTATGTATGGTATTCCTTTCACTGCTGTCCGTTTCCATGCTCTAGGTCAATTTATGTCTTTCCAAAAAGGAAAACCAATTGGAGGCACACATGAGTTAAGGAACACAGACTTCTCCTACCTTAATGGCTATTGTCCCTAAACCCCCGTCACCCCAGAGAAAGTAATCTTGATATTTACTAAACATATTCTGGTTGTTAAATGTTTGCTGATTTGTTCATATATGTAATTATCCTAGATGTCAATTAAGGTCAATATATCCTTTGACATAAACATATAATTCCTTGGAATTGATTCAACTCTACAATTCTGTGTCTGATGGGAAGTCAAAAACCCTCATAATTTCTGTAAATTCACCAAGATTTTCATTTTTATATTTGCTCTCAATTCTGATATCTTGTTTTCATTTGATCTCCCTTGCCCTTAATTCCCATGGCTATTGTCTTTTCTTGATCTCACACCAACAAAAAAAGGAATCCAGACTACCTCTCTAATTTGCCACAAAGTAGCAGTCAGCCAGATACTTGTTTTTATAAGGGAACTAATAGCAGGGGAAGATGGTGAAGGGTAATATTATAGCACCATACTGCAAACTTTTCAATTTTAATATCTGATCATTTTTCTTAAAATTCTTCAACAATCTGTACTCATTACAATCTATCATTGCGCCATATTTCTTTATAGGTCATTATTTATGCCATATTCTCAACCTTTCCCTCTGTTTCCAGAGGACCACCGATATCCGAGTCATTTCTTAGGCACAGCAGCTTTACTCTTGTTGTTAATTTGTTCCTCCAAATAATGACCTAGGGTGTCCAAGAAGGAAAAGAAAGTTGGAGCTCAACATTGTGACACAAAGAGTCCTAAAAAGGCACTTTGTTATTGAAAAGGCCCTCTGCTCCAGATAGAAAGGACAAGTGGCTGAAGAAAGAGAGAGATGACAACCTTTATAGGTATTTGGGAGTTTTAAAAAACTTTTTTTCTCCACCTGTCACAGTGTCTCTATCCTTTATACCACCTGGTAAAGAAAGATCATATGTAGGGCTGGAGATTAGAGCAACAAGTCGTAATCTTTGGGAAAGCAAAGTACTAGAGAAGCAAATTAAAGCTCTAGGCATCTTCTAAGAAGAGCTACCATTTGAGTAAGGTGTGTCTGTGACTCTGGAAAGTATGGATTGGATACTGTGGCAGAGCCAACAGAAGAAGAGAGTACCCCTAATATTTTGGTCCCAGCTCTGAAAAAGGACAGAAACTCAATATGCCCATAGAACAACAGCTCCTAGCTGTACTCCTAGTAGAGCCTCTCATAAAGGAACAGCATATAATGGTAAGAACTTCCCTTTCCATCAAAGAATGGGTTGAAAATATGTCCATCAATCCACCTCTGTCATGGCTCAAATTCCCCCCATGACTAAGTGGCATACCCATTTGCAGCAGAGGAGCACTGTTCACTTTGTCTAGAAATGCAGGTATTGCTAGGCTCTGTAGAGTATGTAGATCCTCCAAATGCCTCTACTCCTATACCTGTAGCAGCCCCTGGGGCCTATAGAGAGAGAGTTGGGGAAAATTACTGCTGATGAATCCTATACAGATGCCTGGAAATAGAATGAACCATAGCTGCCAGTGGGCTGAACTCAGAGTGGTTTGGCTGGTAATTATGATCCCTGGCTGATAATCCTCTCCATTGACAGTTGGGCTATTCTAAAAGACTTAGATAATGGGAAGCCAAAGTGTAGATGATCATGAATAAGCCCTTGTGTGATCAGGATATGTGGAAAGGCATTTGGGTTTGTCTGCAGAAATATAAGGCGATCCTCAATGCTTTCCATGTCCTAACTCATAAGGCACTGATACTCCTTAGGAATCAGGAAGCTAATGCCTTAGCCCGCGTACAAACCCTAGACCTGACTCTTCAGTAGATATGGCAGATTAGGTGCATAGAAAGAGTGGCCACCTTAGCATCAAGGTGGGATGGCATATTGCCAATATGCTAAATTGCCTTTGAAATACAGTGACTTGGTTAATGCAGTAACAACATGTCCTGTGTTTTCTAAATAATATCCAAGGCAATTGCCAAAGAAGTCTGAGATCATTCACTGAGGGGTTCCAAATTGATTATATTGGTGAGGACTCTAAACATAATTTGGTTTGTATGGACACTGTGTCTGGCCCAACCCAAGTTTTCTCTGTTGCTGAGAAAACCAGGCCACCATTAGGGGATTGGAGAAGCTGAGTGAGTACCAAGTATGGATACCCTCTTAAAATATACAGTGATGGATTGGAGGGGGGGTGTCATATTTCAAAGGTTATGATGTGTAAGACTTGTCAAAAAAACATGACATTGAATGAAGTTTTCATCTCCCCATATCCTGTAAGTAACAGGGTTAATGGAAACAAAGAATGGAATATTAAAGTAATAGATTACATTTGTAACAGGAAAAACCAATTTGGTTGGGTGGACTAAAGTACTGTCCCAGCTTTAATACATTTTTTTTTTTTAAATACGGAATGCTTCACAAATTTGCATGTCATCCTTGCACAGGGGCCATGCTAATCTTCTCTGAGGCTTTAATAAATTTTAATGATAAACCAATAGGGCCTGTTGCCACACATTCCAGGCTGGGGACCCCTGCTGAGACACCCAGTGTTGTAATGGTATGGAAGTCTCGAGAAAAAGCCATTGCCCCAAATCTCAATGTGTATCAATATGCCATATTCATGAGAATACCAAGCCCCATCATGCCTGGAAGAGGTGTTATCTACTGGAATTTGCAATGAGATGTCCCACCAGGATGGGTGAGTTACTTCACACTGTTGGAGAACTGTTCAGTCTGGTATCCCATTGTCCTGCTGTAAGCCAGACCTGTTGAAAGATATTATACTTGGAATGTAGCAGACACCATTGAAAAAGGGGAGAAGATTGGGGTCCTGATCTGGTATATCCTGTCCCCGGTCCAGGCCTCACACCTGACAGTGCTGCCTTCCCTGGCCAACATGTATGGTATACACAACCAGATCAAGTTCCTAAAGCTGCCAACCTTGCTCTCCTCAAGAAAGATTGAGCTCATTCTCTTTTCTCTGGTATGAGCATTTGGCTGCCATCTTTGCTTCCTTTATTGTCCTGGAGGACATTATAGCACACATAGCAGCCCTTACTAAATTCACCCAGCAAGACTTAAATGATAGCCAGCAAAGCCTATCCTTATTGAACACTGAACTATCTCTAATGAGAAAAACTGTCCTCCAAAATACAATGGTCTTGGACATGATTACTGCCTTGCAAGGATGCACCTGTACCATTATCTAGAGTGTTATATATTCATAATGGGTGAGTCTGCTAGTGTATCATATTTATTAAATCACATGAGGATATAAGTGAACACTCTGAGTGATCTGACCCCTGGCCCGGTGGACTTAATAAATTGATGATTTGGATCATGGGGCTCTTGGTGGAAAAAATTGTTACTGATCTTGAGAATCATTGTCTTAATCTGTGTTTTCTCTTGTATTCATCTATATTGTTGCTGTGGTATCTGTCTCCAGTACAGCCAGATAACAGCCAAACCAACTACCTCCACGCTAGTGAAGCTCCCTTGCTGACTGCTCAAAGCATGATGTAGAAGAGGGGGGACACATAAGATTATAAGAACCAATCATTAGGGGCAGAGTGTTGGAGGAGGTAAATGAGAGAAAGTAATTCATGAGCTGGACCTAGGCAATTAGAGACTCCTCATCCCCTCTCCCATCTTTGGAATGTACGGTCTTACCATTTCCACAGTGGGAGCTGTTCCAAAGACATATGCTTGAGAGGGTAAGGTGTTGTTGAGACCATCTGGACAGTGCACATGACTGAACCCAGTTAAATTTAAACTTTTAAGATTTTGATGGGCAGTTTGGAGATTCACTTGTGTTGCAGCCACCCAAGACAAATCTCGTATGTAAGTTGCTTATTAAACCTGCCACTTACCAATCTGGAGTGATCTGCCTCTTTCTTTAGTCTTTCCTTGCCCTCTCTGCACAGAGAGACCAGTCTGTGAACCAACAAGGCCTCAGATAATTTCTCAGTCTCTTAAACTAAAGATAATAGTGTTCTTGTCCAGCAGCCAAGCCAAGTCTCCTTTCTCTGGCCCTGGTGCTCAAAAAATAATTTCTCCAATTTTTCTACCACTACTTCCTGCCTCCATCTCAACTCTCTCCTCTGTAAAAAGCACCCCAGCCTCTCTCTTTTTCTAGATTGGGAGCTTCCACCCAACTGGACTCAGTACCTACCTGACTTAATGCCTCCCTCCTATGACAAATGTACATAAATATAAAAAGAGGAATGCTTTTTACTCCTTGATCACTTCTTTCGCATGTTGTGACTGTCCCATTTCTTGTAACTTCCCATTTTCTATTTTATCCTGAGGAAGCTTGAACATATTAGATAAGGAAATAAGTTCTATGTCTTCATGAGAGTACAGCCTCTTTAACACGTACTATCTGTGTTTCCAAGTCTTGGGATAATGTGAAATTATGAATGACTGGTATCTCATCAGAAAACTAACATCATGTACTATCCAGGTCAGCTGTGGATTTTGAAATGGAAGTGGGGGTGTGGGTGTGGGTTTTCCATTTCTTGACCTTGTTCCTTTAAAATGGAACCTACAGAAGAAATCAATTGAGTAGGTCTGGTAGTTAGTAGAGATCAGAAGTATCTTCTCATGACTCAACCACTCCAAAAGCTTATCACTACAAAACAAGTTGGTGGTTTTAACTGTTATACCACTTTGCATGTTTTTTTTCTTAGTCATACACTTGTTTCATTTGTATCTGTAAGTCATTGGTTAAAGTTATGGATTACAATGAACACTCATGCTGAAATATAACACATTAATGAGAAGAAAAAAAAATCATTCAGAATTCACCTGAAGATTACCTTTAAAAATAAAAAAAATAATAATTGTGAAAATTTTTAATTTATAAAAAAGTAAATAAAAGTTATAAAATTATATTAATTATCATGCATTAATTACCATGCATTTTCCATGCCAATTTGTTATAAATGTTTTCTGTCTCTTTTTTAAAATAATAACATTTATGAATACAATCAGAAACTCACATCCATTCTTTCCCCTTCCTTACTTCCTCCTTCCTCAGAAGTCACCGCTCTACTGAACGTGGCATATGTATTATTCCTTTACATACTTATGTTAATATACATGTCTGCATTTTATAAATATAGAGTATTATTTTAAATTTACAAGTTTTCTGTTTTTGAAATTTATTCATTTGATTGTCCAAGAGACCCTGATCTAATATTCTATAGCACATCAAGATGTCTTTAACATTTAATTAAATCTTTGGAAAGTAAATACTTGGAAACTAAGCATGAATATTATTTTAAAAACAATTGTGTGTCAGGGGGTGGTTTAGGCTCTAAACAACAAGAACACAAATTAAATCATCAAAGATATTTTTTGTATATTTCTGATGTAGCAAAAAGTAGTTAAATTTTAATCTTCATTTCAATGAATATATTTTTATCCCAAATGAAATGTGGTTTTTAAAATGTCACTTTGAATCTATCTATAAATTATATCATTTTATAATTATTAAGTTAATCCAATAATGTGGAGCACTTATTAAATACATATAAGTAAAATTTATCTTTTTAGGTATGTATTATGGATATTATTAAAGACTTTAATAAAATTAACTTACAGTGTAAGCTTTAGTTGCAATATATCCATCTAAAGTAACATGTTCTATAGAAAATAACATTTATTTTATGTTATGTAAAAATACATTGTGAAAAATAATTTTAAAAATTTATTAGTGATTTCTCGATGTTAGATGTTACTATGAATGGAGTTCTAAAATTAAGAAGAGTGAAATCAAGACTGATTTAAAATTATACAAGAAGACAAAGATCTTCAAATGCTTTAATTCTCATCACCCCATTTCTGGCTTATATAATGTTATTTTCCAAAAACTAGCTGACTTGATGTTAATCATCTAGCTGAGACCAAAAGAATCACTAAGCCAAAATCATCAACCCATAGATTCATGATCTAAATAAATGTTTATTATTTTAAAAACTGAGTTTTGAGGTGGTTTATTGCACAGCATAATTAAGTAGAAATAGACCACCACAACTAACTATAGTGGCTTTTGTTGTTTGCAACTGGGAGACTTAACTCAGACAACTTCCTTTAGATCTTCTCATCACCCTGGAAAGACCCAGATTATTTCATTTTACAAGCAGTTTTCAGGCTCTTACTATAAATTAATCATAGTGAAAGATGCTGGAGAGTAAGCTCTAGAAGAAAATATACGTGACCCCTATGTTCTTGGATTTTAAAGTCTTCTAATGTTTGATGATACAACAACTTACAAAAAGTTCTTATTGGAGGCAGAGAAACAAATACAAGGATAATGTTTATAAGTAGTCAGGTTTGTAAGTCATAGATTTAGGTCATAACATAGCTAGAGTGTTTTCAATATCCAAGCACTATTCCGTGCCTTCTTGAAATGAACTCAGCTGTCCATCTTTATAGACATCTTTGTTGAGCTCTTAATTTCCTAGTTGATGTCCTAATTCTAGCTGAAGGGCTTCATCTTAACCAATATCCAGGAGCTCCTTTACAGACAACCTTGCAATTTCATCCTCAGTACCAAGAGATCTCTACTCTGCTTTGAGTCACAGAGTCCCTATCTCACACTATTTGAAGTTCACAGTCACCAGAATCGGTGGCTAAGCTTAGTCTACTGGTGATACCTTAACCCATAAACATGGGGGGAGATGATTCCTCAAGCAGCTCCACAAGTATTCTCATCTTATAGAACTAACAATGGACTGCCACAATTTCCTTACACGCATTATGCAATAAAATGTCCCTTTATGAGGACAGAGAGCCTCTTTTCTTGGGGGGACATGAACTGCACAGCTCAGCAGAAAATAGAACAGTTGAAAGAAAGAAAAGACCCTACAACTGAAACAATAGTAAACAATACCAAAAAGCAAACGAAGTTTTTTCTAAACAATATCCTGGTTCAATTAATGTTTGCTATTTATACTTTTGTCTCCTGTTGCTGGAACAAAAGCTGTGCCCCTAAAAGCACAATATAGGACACCAAACAGCAAGCATCTCTTCATTACTACAACTACAGTTGTTCCTCCCACTACTCCCGAAGACCCAAGGAGAACACAATGGAGAAGCTCCTCCTGGGTGCCCTGCCTCTTACTATTGTCTCAGGAAGTGTCACACAGTCAGATGGTCACTGAGCCTTCTTGGAAATAAGTTTTTTCCAAGTCCCAAGGTAACCGAGATATAAAGCTTTTTGTTGTCATTGTTCCTGCCGCTGTTTGAGGAAGATGTGAATGAAGAATGGTGTATAAGTTATCACTTAATGACAAATCACCTCAGAACCTAGCAGCTTAAAACGGCAAACACTTGTTATCTCATATCTTCTGTGATTAGAAATCAAGGAGGAGCTTAGCTGGACAATTCTGAGTCCAGGTCTCATCTGAAGGTCCAGCTAGAGAAGGATATACTTCCAAGCTCACATAGTTATTGTCAGGATTTCATTCTTTATAGGCCTTGGGTCGAGGGCCTCAGTTT